GAGACCATGGTCCCCAGAGCCCTTCGAGGAGGATTCTTACCTGCTTAGAGGCAGATGGTCTAGATCTCTTAAACAGTTCCAGAAAGAAACTGTTTAGCTTAAAAAATGTTGAGTAGCTACCAGCTAGACAGCTGCCACTTGGAGAAAGATTATGAAGCTATGTCCTGGCTGAACAGGGGAAAGTGAGCCACGATCAATTAGTGATGTCTGCCATGACTGGAAGATGGGTAGGTTGTGACAAACATGCTGTGCATGTGCCATTCTTGGATTAGAACAATTCCCCAGTATTCTTCAGCCCCTGTCAAACCTGGGGGGTGCTGGACACATGGTGGAGGGTTTTTCTTTCAAATTGCTAAGCCCTCGGTTGGTCATTTTACCCACTCTGTCTTCTCTGTGGCCATGACCTGCCTATAGCCACTTTCACGCATGCTGCATCTGTATATGTCAGTGTGTACACTCATGCAGTGCACACACCAACCTCTCTGACGCCTTTCCCCCGGGAGCAAGGAATCCCAGGGTCACAGCCTGTCTACAGCTTGCTGTGGCCAAGGTGACCTCCTAGCCCTCAGCCTCTCCGTTCCAGATCCTTCCCCTTCCTCCCCCAGGGGCCCAGCACCCTCAGGCCATCTCCTCACAGTCTGTCTAGTCCTCAAGGCTCAGTTATCAAAGACCCCACACATGACAAGGAGCCACCCTGTTCAGCCACCAGCATTATCTGCATCTTGGTTCCTCCTCTGCCCCCCACTGGAACCAGATTGTGCCCCCTATAGGCAGTGCTTCAGACACTGGGAAGTAGACAGTGGGGGTTTGGGGATCAGGAGGCTTTACCCAGGGACAAACCAATTAAGGACAATGTAATGTCCTGGCTGGACGACTTCCTAGCACCCCAAAGTGGTGGGTTCCTGCTGACCTGCTAAGAGCCCTCCCCGCCCCAGGATTCCCAGGTTTTATATTTGTGCACTCTGCAAGGAGCCCTGGGCCAAGCTCACCCCAAACCTAGTTCAGTGGCACACTCTGCTGCCCAGAATACCACATGCTGCCTGCCAACTGGCCGGGAAAGGTCTCCCACACTGTTCTGAATCCTGTCCTGGCTCCGATTCACCCCGGGGAGGAGACCCTCACACTTCTCACCTGCCCTGCAACTCAGGAAGATTCAGTAACACCTGTCTCCTTCCCACCTGTCCCTACTCTTGACCAGTCCCCTCTCAGAGAACTGTGCTTCTCAGCCCCTCCCCATTCCCAGTGCCAGATATGATCGGCCTTGAGAATGCCCAGCTGACCCCAAAATCCTCAGCCATATGTAAAAGCCCAGGCTAACTGCTCAGACACTTCTACGGGACAGGAAGGTAGCAGAGTGAACGGAGGCTTGGGACTCACTGCTGCATTGAAGTCCTGCACCCCACTTTACCTGTTACCAGTCACCATAGAGTTGACTGTGACTCATGGTAACCCCACATGTGTCAGAGTGAAACTATGCTCGACAGGGTTTTCAGTGGCTGATTTTTCAGAAGTAGATCGCCAGGCCTTTCTTCCCAAGTGCCTCTGAGTGGACTCAAATCTCCAACCTCTTGGTTAGCTGCCAAGCACAGTGATCATTTGAACCACCACAGACGATACACATAATCTCACCAAGGCTTGTTTTCCCAGTCTGTGAAGTGGAGATGGTAATACTACAAACGTCATAGATCGTTGTGGAGATTAAATGAATGGTCTACATGATCAAATAGGCACGTAATAATAATGGAGCCATTATTATTTCAGGCCTTCGGCACCTGGCCTCAAAGCCCATGGGCTGGCACCTTTACCAGAGCTCCCTCCAGAACACTATGCTCAGGGGCAGGGTGGGTGGGCAATGCAGACCTTCCCTCCTAGACCACCCCTGGAATGTCCAGCTTCAGAGCAGAGTTGGAATGTCACCTCCCTTTCCCTGGCCAGGAGCTCTGTTTCCAGACTGGAAACGTCATTCTCTTTGCCTGCAGGTGGAAACGTGGATGGGAAGTTCAGTGTCGGCTACCGTGATGCTGTCATAAGAACAGTGGTGAGCCTGGACCGGGAGACCACAGCCGCGTACACACTCATCCTGGAGGCCATTGGTAAGCACCAGCCCACCCCACCCACCACCATGGCTGTGTGGGGCAGAGTTCACATCGGGTGCCCACGATCCAAACCTTGAGCCAAAGGCTGAACTCTACCCTAACACCAGTGGGAAAGGGCCACCAGATGCTCAGCAGACATTACTGAGCACTTGTTGGGTACCATGCTCAGTGAGATGCTGCATGTGAGACATTGAGATGGTAAGGCAGGAGCTCTGCACAGCCAAATGGGAGACCAGCGTGTAGCCAAGTCACTGCAAAAGAAACTGAAGGGGACAAGGGATATCAGAGTAGCAGGCACGGTGGGTGGTGGAAACATGGAGGAGGGGTCATCCAGAAAGGCTTCCTGGAGGAAGTGGCATGTGGGAGTGCCTGTGGATCAGTTGAGACTTTCTTGGTTGCAAGTAAAAAATAAGTAAACTGGCTTTAGCAGTATTGGCTCACAAAACCTGTCCCCGTATGACAAAATCAGGTGTGATAGATGCCGGGCTCAGGTGATGCCAGTCTCCTGTGGCGGCTCTGCCTCCTGTATGTGGGCTTCATTCTCTGTCTCACCTGGTGGAAAATCGCTGCTGCAGCCCCAGCCTTACATCCTCCAGGTTCAAGTGCAACAACAGGGAAGACAGCTAAAGCCCTCAGAACAGCTTTCATTAGTTCCAATGTGTACTGGTGCTCGTCCCTGAACCCCTCACCCTAGCTGGGTGGGGGGTGAGATGTGCTGGTTAGTTAGGCCTAAGTCGCCTGACCATCCCTGGAGATGGGGGCAGTCAGACCACCCCACCCGGAAGACCAGGCCTGAGAGATAGGAAGAGAGGTCTCTTCGAGTAGGATGGTGCTGATCAGCAGATACATGGATGCTCACCTCAGCCTGGAAGGCCAAGTAAGGCTGCAGCAAATGCAGAAGCAGGGAGGGAGGGTGTACAAGGCACAGAAGTCAGCCCACAGAAGGGCCTGGAGGTGGAGAGGGCAGCGTGTGCATGGGCAGCAGCTGGCCCATGGTATGGCATGCATTGGGAATGGGAGGTCGTGATCAGGTAGAGCCAAGCTCTGGATGTCTGAACGCTGGGCTGGGGGTTTGGTGTTTGGTCTCAGGCATGGGGAGGCCGGGAGAGCTCCGGAGGGGAAGAAGGGTATAGTGAGGCCAGTGTCCCCCAGGAACACCCACTGCAGTGTTGGCATGAGCTCTGCAGAGGCTTCTGCTGGCCTCAGTCTTCCTGCCAGCAATCCCTCCCAGCGTGCCCACGCTCTGAAGGCATCTGTCCCCTGCCCTGCTCTCCTCATCCTGGGGCCACCCACCACCCTCAGGCAACCCATCACTCCCCCTGCCCCCCTCTCCTTGGAGTCCAGCCTTTGCTTCAGGCTTTAATTGGCAGGAAGAGAGGGCTAAGTCTCAGCCTTCAGTACGGCCCCCCAGCTCACACTGTCCCCAGCTGGGGCAGGCTAGCAGGACCCTCTGGGCCATGGGAAGTGGTCCTGGGATGGAGCTTAGGAGGGTGAGAGGACCTACCCCAGGGTACACGAACACACCCAGCACGTGGCCAGCTGGCCTGGGAAAGAAGGACGGAGTTACCCCTGGTCCCCAGCCAACTCCAGCCGCCCATACTCCTCCAGGGCTGCCCTTCCCGGAAGATGCAGGGCTGGGCACAAGCTCCCCTGAGGCTGAGCTGAGGCTCCCATCTTTACCACCTCCCCAGCCTGGGAGGGTCCTGCTGGGGACTGGAGGGGCAGAATCCCTGGATATTAGGCTTGGAAATCAAGCAGGACCGGTGAACCTGAATACAGGGTCCTGCAGCCAAATCTGCCCTGCAGACACGCCTGCTTGCCCCACCCATTGCTTTTTAAGTAATTCCAATTAGCTGAGAACATTGAAAACTCTGGAGATTCCGTTTCTTCTGAGAAATCAGAGATCTGGTGTTCCTGGTCCCACATTCTGCCTGGCAGCCGCGGACTGGAGCAGAGGCCAGCTGCCCCCTGACCCGGGCAGCCCCAGGTGTCCCAGCTGGGCCTGACAGCAGCTGGATTTGTGACCATGTTGGTTTCCTAGGACTGCTGTAACAAATGACTGCAAAGCGGGCGGCTTCAAACAACAGAGCAACAGTTACTGGCTCGTAGTTCTGGTGGCTCCAGGGGTTCCCTGGCTTGTGGCAGCATCACTCCATCTCTGCCTCTGCCTTCACAGGGCCTCTCCTCTCTGTCTCCAGTCTCCCTCTGCCTTTCTCTTAGAAGGACACTGGTCATGGGCTTTAGGGTCCACCTGGATAATCCAGGAAGATCTCATCCCAAAATGATTACCTCAACCACATCTGCAAAGACCCTTTTTCCAAACAAGGTCACATTCACAGGTTCCAGGGATTTGACATGAACGTATCTTTTAGGGAGCCATCATTCAACCCACAACAGTGCCTCAATTTCCTCCTCTGTGATGTTTGATAATAGCACCTGCATCTCAGGGTCATTGCGAGGACTGAATAAGTTAGGATAGGGCCTGGCATGTGGTGTTATCTAAGCATTAGGTATTATTATTGTCATTCTTAATCTAAAAAGGAAAGGGGGATGGGAGGAACATCTCTGGCTGGAACCCTACAGTGGGCAAAGCCCAGGAAGCTTGTCCTTCAGGCAGCTGTTAACACGGTCTCCCTTCGCCTCCCACAGACAACGGCCCGGTCGGCAAGCGGCGTACAGGCACGGCTACTGTGTTCGTCACCGTCCTTGATGTGAATGACAACCGGCCCATCTTTCTGCAGAGCAGCTACGAGGCCAGCGTCCCCGAGGACATCCCTGAGGGCCACAGCATCGTGCAGGCAGGTGGCCTGGGGCTGCAGGAGGGACAGAAGGAGGAGTAGCCAGTGCGGCAGGAAGTGGGGACCCAGGCCCCCTCCCTCCCAGGGGGAGTGGGCCCCCAGGTTGTGGAGCACAGGACGACCCTGACTCCCCCAAACCAGAAGGAAGGCAAGTACCTTAGCCTCCCTCTGCGCACTCACCACCCCACCCCAAAAGGGCCTTCAGAGCAGGGTGGAGACAGAAATGTCACATTTTCCCGGAAGGGAGTTGAGGAGAGAGAGCCAGGGCCCAGCGAGGCCAGAACAGAGCGGCTTTCATGGGGCCCCTTGGCCAGAGCTCCCCTCTTGGGAAATAAACAGGCACAAGAAGAAAGGCTCCTTTGCCTGGGGAGCAGAGCAACAGCCATGAGGCTCAGAGGGGGAGGAAGGGAGGGACCTGCAGCAGAGGCCCGCTGGTTGCCCTCCCCCACAGGCCCTGGAGGCCTTGTTGCTGGGTGTGGAGGAGGCCGGGAATGAATGACTCTGTTCACCCAGCTGGGGTGGTTTCCGACTGGGAGGCTGGGCCAAGCACAGCAAATCCGGGCCTGTCCACAGGGGCAGGCTTCCGGGCTTGGGAGGGGCAGAAGAATGGGAGGCTGGGAGTGTGTCCACCAGTCCCCAGCGGGGCCAAGGAAGGGGGACAGGAGAGGGGCTGGGAGCAGGGTGATGATTCCCAGAAGTGGGGAGAGCCCAGAAAGTCAGGGGATTGGCAAGAGTCCGGTGGCTGGTGTCCAGGAGAAGGGGGAAGGAGGAAAAGGAGGAGGGTTCCATCCCTCTGGGCCTCAGCTGGGTGTGTCTACACTCTCCTGGGGGCTTAGAGAGCCCCCAGCTGAAAGCTGTGGCACCCCACCTCTCCCCTGGCCTGGTGCCTGCCTCCCCTGGCTCGTTGGCAGGTGTCCCAGGACCAGTAGGCTTGCCCAACCTGGGTGTGCGGCCAGACCTTTGAAAGCATCCCTATTCCTTCTCCTTCAAACCTCAGGGCAGCCTTTGCCCCACACTCCTAACCTCCAGGAAGAGAACACCTGGTGCCCAGCACTGGCCCAGGAGGATGGTGGGGCCTCCTGCAGACTGAATTCAGCTTGGATGTCTCAGGGAGGCCCTGGGGAAAGTAAACCAGAAAGAGGTTAACAAGCAGGAAGGAAGGGGGGAACACAGCTCTCTGGGAGGGGACCTGCTCCACTTTCTAAACCCCAAAGACTTGGTTTCCACTTACAAAACACCACTCAGACGGAGATCCTAAATCCCGTGAGTAGTACAGGGCAACCCTGACTCTCCCTGTTCCTCAGCGGGAGGAATCCGGGCACTGGTGGCTTCTCCAGGGCCCTGTACATAGGTCTCTTGCGAAGCTGGACTCACCTTTGATGTCAGATTGATCTGGAAGGAGGCTCAGTGGGCCTCTCCAGCAGGTCCTGCTTGGAGAGAAATCTACCCAGGGGCATCCGAGGGAAGAAGAGGGCCCTGTGTTTTGCAGGCTCCCACCAGGACTCCCTCCACCATGGGCTTTAGGGGTGGGGACACATCCAGGCTGTCCCACCCTTCACCCAGTAAACAGAGGCCTCAGATTCTGTATATGAAGCAGGTGACTCCAAGTGAAGGGTCAGACAAGGTCTCACTCTCTGTGAGCTCCCAGGCTTGTAGACAAGAATGACCCACGCTAGCAAGACCCCTGCCCACCCTCAGATTGATTCGAGAGAGTGTGGGTGGCTCCAGGCAGCAGCTGGCTTTCAGCAAAGACAGCTTCTCAGAGGGACACCATGGGAGGCATGGGGCAGGGAGAATGGTGGTTCAGTTTGCCTGGAGTCTTGGGTCAAGATGAGGCTACAAAGATAGATTGGAGTCAGCTCCCAGAGGGTGCTGAACACCGGGCTAAGGAGCTTTGGCTGTACCCAGTTGGCAGTAGGGAGCCAGTGAAGGTTTTGGAGCTAAGTGGCAAATCAGAGTTCACTTTGAGAAGACTTGGCTGGCTGCGCTATGGATCATAGCAGGGTAGGGCCAGCCAACTTTTTGGGACAGAAGCTGGGCAGCTTAGGCCCTCCTCTGCCCAGACTCCAAATCTGGGACCCAACCAAAGTGTTTAGCCTGGTTGGTGAGGAGAGGTCTAGGGTTTGGGATTCTGAAAAGCCCACCCTGGGTGGGATCTCAGTGAAGCAATCACCAAAAGCACATTGCACACCTAGTGTGGTCCAGGGGAGAGGTCTGGACCCTCTCACCTGAGGGGGGCCACCCCCTTCCCTGGAAGAGGCCTGGAGCTGCTATGGCATGTACTCCTCAGAGCCCAGGTGTCATCATCTCCAGCTGGGCACCCCCAGCCTCCTGCCATTCTGCCACAGCCCCAGGCCTGGCCTCTGAAAGAGGCAGCCCCTTCCTGATTGATCCTGACATGGGCGTATTGAAAGGGGGCCATCTGAGACAGCTGTCTAGATCGCAGTTCGATAGATGGATTCGACAGATGCTGTTGAGAGCCTCCTGCTTGCCCTCTCTGTGCGGCGCCCAAGCACCTCTAGTTTGGCCAGAGCAGTCCTGACACCAACCGGCAGCCCCAGGGGCTGAAGATCTGACCTGGGTGAGAGGCGTCCTAGAAACACCCCTTACGAGAGAAGCCCATTTGTTCCCAAAGAGCTGCTGGGCCATCCAGGCCGAGATGCTTCCTCTCACGCGGCTCATTTATTCCTTCATTCAACAAATACCTATGAGGTCCAGGCTCTGGGGATACATCAGTGAGCAGGAGAAGACCCAGGAAGCTTACAGTCCTGGGGGAAAATGGGCTTTGAACGAGTAGTTCCAAGACAAGCAAGTGTGAGAAAACCAGAGCATCCTTCAGGGAAGTACAGCAGGTGGGTGAGTGGGGTCCAGGAAGGCTTCCTGGAGGACATCACACTTAAACTGAGCTCTAAAGGATGAGAAAGAGATTTCCAGCTGAAGCGGGGAGATGGAGAGTGGGTGGAGGAAACAGAATGTTCAGAGGGCTTGGGTAGGAAAGAATGGGACACGCTGGTCAAATGCGATCAAACAATGAGGCCGCAGGAGGCCTGGGGGCAAGGGTCGGATCAGACCTTGGTGAAGATTTGGGGCTTTAACCTAAGAGCTGGGGATAGACATGGGGCTGGAGGGACCGAGTGACCAGATAGAAGCCATCCTTCCCACCCCACCTGAGGTCGGAGGGTTACTCCCCTGTTGCAAGGGGTCTCCCGCTCCAAGCAGATAACCTTATCTGGTGAAATCCATTTTAACAGGGCACTGGCCAGCTAGAGACTGTCCAGAGACACAGGCAGGGTAGTGAGTGTATGCGGAGGGCACTGGCTGGACAGTGAGTGAGGGGCTGCCTGTCACTTGTCTGGACACTGCAGAAACTCAGAGCAGAGCCAGCATCATTGGTTTGTACAGGATATTCAAGGTGGGCCCAAAGCGTGTGCCCTGTCCATTCAGAGGACCTCACATAACTGGAGGCCACCCCATTGCCAGCCCCACCTGCCTTCTGCCAAAGCTAATTCAGGTCCTTTACCCCACTGATCCCCAACCTGGATGGCTGCAGGTTGTTAGCACATCCATCCGCTCTCTGGCTGCAGGATGGCCGACCCTCCCCCCCAAGGAAGGCCAGAGCAAGGCCCATTGTAGACACCCTCGCCTATGGTCCCCTGCTCTCACAGCTGTGAGTGCCACTACGCCAGGGAGGGAGCAGGCACCTCTCTGGAGCAATGGCTTAGACGCTGAATCCCACCATGGTCTGCCCAGACCTCTCTGCAAGCTGGGCTGTTGGGAAGAACTGACCCCACGCACCCTGGAGTTGCAGGGCCCTGGGCTCCTAAGATCCACATAGGGTACCAACCAATCCCACAGATCACTAGGCAGATGTCAGCAGGGCCCGGGTGTCCCAGGAGAGGAGTCCCTGGGTTCCCTTTTGCCTTGGGCACTGAGTTGGCACAGGTGGCAGGACAGTACCTTGTCCCTGGTGTGGGCTGAGTATTTCACATCGCTCGAGGGAGCTTTTGGCCATTCGGCAACTCAGATGAGAATTGGAGCTGGGCTTTGGCCCCAGGAGGGCGGGCAAGCAAGGATGCTGCTGCCAGGAGGTGGTTGCTTGCCAGAAGGGGCCCTGGGGAGCCCCAGGTTGAGCCCCGGAGCCTCAGGCCAAGTTCCCAGGTGGCTCCAGGTGCTCAGCTCTTGGTCCAGGAGTTCTTTCAGCAGGGAACAGCTAAGGGGTCTGCAGAAAGCAAAGTACTGCTTCCAGGAGCCCTCTCTGAGAAAGGGCAGGGCCTGGGTCCACAGGGAACCGCTGGGGATGAGGTGTGGCCCAGGTGGCTTGGGCTGCTGCCCTCCTGTGGCCTGTGGTGCCAGGCTCTGGTCTGAGGGAGGAGGATCTGTAGAGGCCTAGGAGGCGGGCGCCCCATCACATCTTCGTGGATTCCATGCAGTCACAGTCGCTGTTGCCTTCGCGTGCCGTCAAGGGGCGTCGCGGAGCAGCGGGCCAGCCGCGGCGGAAGCTGTGCAGGGAGCGGCGCAGCGAGCCCAGGCGCTTCCAGAGGCGGAGCTGGGGCTCGCTGGGACTCCCCGGGTGGTGGGGCATGCACTCGCGTGGCCCGCGGCGGCTCGGGTCCAGCGCGGTCGGCTTGCAGAGGGTCATGAACAGCAGACAGGTGGCCAGCAGGAGGAAGATGCAAGCCAGGGCAATGAGGACCGGGAAGGGGAAGGCTGCCTCCACGGGGGTCCCTGGAGTGCCTGGAGCTGTGAGGAAGGAGAGGGGGCTGGGGGCCTCCCTGCTCATGGTTCCTGCAACAGGAATGGGACAGAAGCTCAGAGGCAGATCAGCTGGACCTATGACAGGAGAGAGAGGGGAACGTTGATGGGGGCTGGGCACTATTTAACTAGCTGCAGGCAGCATCGTGGCCATTTTACAAGTTGGACAGTGAGGCCCAGAGGGGTGACAAATCTAAGGTCCCACGGCTGGTAAGTGATGGAGCTGGGTCTGAACTCAGGTCTTCTCTCCGCTACATCCCATTACACCTCTGACTTGGTGGAGACAGGAAGGTAATCAGATCTCATGAAGTAAAATACAGGTAGTCCCTGACATACGACATGTTGGAGTTACAATGAACCTCACTTAACAACCATCTTTTTTTTTTTTTTTTTTTGGACATCTTATCGTTAGTAATGTGAACTGCATTCAGTGTTGCAGTGTGCAATTTGCTGATGTTACCATTCTCATGTCAACCCAAAAAGACAAATAAATATCAGATCTATAAAGATACCGATACTAAAAGGCAATAATAACAGGGAAAAAAAAAATGAGGTGTTTGACTTACGTTAGAACCAACTTAGGCCAGAGTTGTCGGAATGGAACCCTGTTGTGAGTCCGGGACTCCTTGTAGAGTCCTGGGCCTGAAAACTTGGGATCTAGGACCAACTCTATCAACAGCTTGTGGCCAGGAGCAAGTCATTGTTTAGGATGCTGCAGCTGGCAGGGACCCGAGCAATTACCTACAGCCAAGGCTGCAAACAGGAGGCCCAGGGATGTCTTCTGTTGGGTCCTTACAGTGTTTCTGGAGCCCTGGTGGTGCAGCGGTTAAGAGCTATGGCTGCTAACCACCAAAAGGTTGGCAGTTCGAATCCACCAGCCACTCCTTGGAAACCCTATGGGCCAGTTCTACTCTGTCCTATAGGGTAGCTATGTGTTGGAATCAACTCTACGGCAATGTTTTTGTTGGTTTTTTTTTTTTTTTTTTGTGGCAGTGTTTCTCAATTTTAATTAATTGTGAATATTAAAAAGAAACAAGAGATTTCACATAAATATCTAGATGTCTGGCTTCTCTTGAAATTCCAAGATTTCAACACTGGCAATGCTGGGCCTGTCTTCCTGCTGGGCATCCAGCATCTGGAGCAGAGCAGCAGCTGCACCCTTTAGACAGGGCACTTCACACCCTATGGCACCTGCCTGGCCCCATGGGCAGTCACACAGTCCAACCTGATCCCTGGCAGATGAGGAAACTGAGGCCCAAACAGTAAGGCCAAGCCCAAGGCCACACTGGGAGCCAGTGGCCAAGCAAAAGCCAGACCCAGGTTTCCTGACTCCTGGCCCATGGTCTTTCCACCACTCTGGCCCCCAACTCTCTCTGAACTCACTGAGCAGCTCGGGAAAACATGAGAAATAATCCCCTATGGGCAAATGAGTTGACAAGGCCGGGCTCTAACCCTCCCAGAGACACCAGTCCCCTAACCTGGGGCATTTCTGTTATCATTTAAGATCATCCCACTAGTGGGAACACGGCAGAGGGTTCTTCTAGATGCAAAGTCAGGCTGAGTTTTTGACTGAATGTGTCTGGGGTTGCAAGTAACAATGCTTACAGAGCATGGTCAGTAATAACACGTAATCGAGGAGGACAGGTGGGCGGGGCCTACCTGGAGAGCACCTGTAAAGGAGGTGGAGGGGCCTGGGCTCCGGCTGATGGTGGCTGTGCTGTAACACAGTCCCAGGGTGGCAGCTCTTCCACTTTCTCAAGAGAAGCCAGAAATCTGGATGTTTAGGCAAATGCCCCTAACGTTTAAATGTTTGCAAATAATTCAGATGGGGGGTGGGTGGAGAGGGAGAAAAAGAAGAAAAAAAAAGCTTTGCAAAGTCCAAACAAACTTGATCCTAAAAAATTTGAAATGAATTTTAAAATATTTAAAACTGGACCCAGGCCAAAGAAAACACGTCTGCAGGCTAAATTCAGCTCATGGACCAGCCTTCTGTGATCTTTGATTTCTGTAAACAGAGGACAGGAAGTCCAAACAGGGTCTAATAAAAAAAATAACTGTTTCTCTTTGACATCAGATATTTCGTGGGATGGGGGCGAGCAGATCTCCCCGCTTCATAACTTACACCTTAGTTTAACTCACAGTCGAGTTTCTAGCGCCAATGCCTGTCAGGAGAAGGGGTTCCAAGTCGCCCAAGGCGCTGCATGGAGGGCTGTAGGGAACCAGCCATCAGCAGGTAGTGTGGAGTGGCCTCCCAGTGCCCTACCCTCCCTGAGCCCCTGTCCCCACCCCAGGCACTCACCAGCAGCCACAGGACCTAGCTTCAGGCTCCCTGCGCCCAACTTCCTTCCTGCTTGCAGCCTTGCCCTGCGCCTAGCAGACTGAGGACATCCAGAGCACCCACCCCACTTCCCACCCACTCCCTACCACCACCCTCCCAGCATTTCCAAACAGAAAACTGTTCCTCCCAGATCCCGACTGGAAACTTTGATGCCCGTCTTGCTGCCCAGGCCTCCGCCTTTTGGGCATCAGGCCTAGAGGGGGCTCTGGCCAGGCAGCTGAACATGGGCTGGCACTTCCTTGAGTCTGAGCAGGGAGGAGAGCCGAGGTGTGTCTATGGCCATCTCCTACAGGGAGAAAACTGGCCGTCCCTCTACCCTACCTGGGGCGATGCTTGGCTGCGAGTAAAGAAAGGGCAGTCTGAAATGGGGAGAGGTCTCAATTCTGCTATGTCTAATGTTATTTCAAGACCTTCAGATGGATCTGGAGACACCTGTTAGGCTAGCAATGCAGGCCCAGGCTTCAGTCCTGGGGACCTGCTTTAATGAAAAGATAATTGCATCTAGAAGCATTGATGGTTCAATGGTAGAATTCTCTCCTTCTATGCGGGAACCTGGGTTCGATTCCTGGCCAATGCACCTCACAGACAGCTGCCACCTGTCTGTCAGTGAAGGCTTGCATGTTGCTATGATTCTGAACAGGTTTTAGCAGAGCTTCTGGACTAAGACAGACTAGAAAGAAAGGCCTAGTGATCTACTTCTGAAAAATCAGCCAGTGAAAACCCTATGGATCACAACAATCTGATCCCCAACCAATCATGGGGATAGTGCAGGATCAAGCAGCTTTTCTTTCTGTTGTGTGTGGGGTCACCATGAGTCCAGGCTGACTCCAAGGCAGCTAGCAACAGCAATTAGCATCTGAGTAGTTTCTGTGGAAACAAGAGTTTCTGAAGTACTTGAAAACATCAAGCCACCCTCCCTGGAGCGTGTGGCAAGGTGAGGTGCCAGGCCCCACTTGATACCCGCTGCTGACCAGCCAGCATGGCCAGCTGGTTCTGGGAGAAAGGAGGCCTCCACCACACCAAGGCTAGGAACTGGCTTGAGAGCAGTTGAAGCCCTCTCCCATCCTGCTGAAGCCCAGAGCACACTGTGCAGACCCTGCTCTGGACGTATCTCTGCAAGCTCAGTCTAGAACCTTCTTTCTTCCTGCAGAGCTCCGGGGAGCAAGGCCTGCTGTGTGACCTCGGGCTAGTCACTGCCCCTGACCGGGCTTTGCTTCCGCTCTGCACAACCCGAGGGATTCCCCAGGTCTGAGCACACCCTCACATCCTCCCCAGAGTACCCCAACAATAGTCCAACCCCCACTCTCCTCACCAAGCCTTCTCCTGCAGTCCTCCAAGCACTGACCTCAGAGCCAGCCCTCAGCAGTCCCAAGCTCAGTGGAGAGGTCTTCTCAGATGTTCAAGGGAGGCTCTCCAAGCGTTGGGCACCGCCCGTGACCCCAGCACCACCCTGGGCCCCGCTGTGTCCTGAGCCTCTGTCAGCAGGCCCTGCAGAGCAGGACTTCCTCCTCACTCTCCAGTGGACCTGGCTTTGTCTGGGACAGTTTGGGTCCTGCCTTGGGGGAGGGGACAGCTAAGAGGGTAGAGATGGCAACTGGGCTGGGAAGAGGGAGGGGAGCGATCCAGAAGAGCCAGGGCGCTCTGTCCGGAGCCTTCCCATGGCCTCGCTCCAGCTGGTCTCCTTGGAGCCCTCTCCAGGGGCGAGAGGCTCTGGGGTACCCAGGAGGAGGGTTTCCCTGCCTCTCTCAGCCCCAAGACTCTCACCTTCCCCCACTGGAAGTTTGAATGGTATGGTCTGCGCAGCCGGCTATTCAGCGCCTGCCAGCTCCAGGTTACCGGGGAGAGGGGCTACATCTGCACAGTGGGAGGGGAGCAAGCCCAGAGGCAGCCCCTGAGGCCCCTCCTACAGCATCCCAGGGCTCTTCTCCTTCCAGTCTTCTCACTCAACTTCCCAGAAAAGCACCTTTTCTTTGAAGGCTGCCGAGGCGCGGACTGAGAGGCATTTTGAAAGGTCAAAGAGATCACAGGGTAGAAAGCACAGGACTGAGCGGCAGCCTACAGTCTGGGTGGGCTATCAGAGACCCTCCAGGCAGCGGCTGACACACATACACACACACACACACCCCACATTTCCCCTTCTCCAGCCTCCTCCTTCCTAGAAACCAGAGCTTCCCCGGCAACCAACCAGCTGCCTTCTTAGGAGTCTGTTTCAGAGCAGCTTCCCCATCAGGGACCCCCAAGTGCCCAGAAATACAGCCCAGGGGAAGTTGTGGCTCTGCCTTAGACCTGAGCCTAGAGCCCACCCCATTTTTAGAGCCCCAGTTTTGGGTATCTAGCCCCTCCCTCCTGCCCTCTGCTCTCTACCACAAAAGCCGCACCCTCTGCATAACCCCCAAATGGAAAGCAGCCTTCCAGGGACTGTCACAGCTGGAAAGTTCTTACGGTGGGGGGGGGGGGGGTTGCCATGACAACCCCACTGTTTCAGAGTAGAACTGTGCTCCATAGGGTTTTTAATGGCTGTGACCTTTCTGAAGTAGATGGCTAGCCCTTTCTTCTGAGGCACCTCTGGGTGGATTCAAGCAGTCAACCTTTTGGTTAGTAACTGAGTGCTTAACCATTTGCATCACCCAGGGACTCCAGAGAGATCCTTAAACCCAACCAAATCCATTGCCATCTAGTCAATTCCAACT